ACGTACAGTTACTGCATTAACACAGCAATTGATGCACTTAATTATCTGCACCTAAAAAAAAGCTTTCGACAGAGTTCCACATACGAGATTGTTCTGGAAAATGGAACATACTGGAGGAGTGACAGGTAGGCTGCTTGATACCTGCTTGATGGGGTTCTGGGAGTTATTCTACTCCCCAAGCCCGGCCCAAGGCCAGGCTCGACTTGTGAGAGTTTGGTCCACCAGGCTGTTGCTTGGAGTGGCCTGAAAGCCCACATACCCACCACAGCCCGGCTGATCCAGAACTTCTCTTAGAAAACAATCCAGTTTTCTCTTGAAGATGTCCACAGTTGTTCCGGCAATATTTCTTATAGTCGCTGGGAGGACGTTGAACCGTGGACCTCTGATGTTTATACAGCGTCCTCTGATTGTGCCTATGGCACCTCTGCTCTTCACTGGTTAAATCTTGCATTTTCTTCCATATCGTTCACTCCAGTACGTTGTTATTTTACCGTGTAGATTTGGGACCTGGCCCTCCAGTATTTTCCATGTGTATATTATTTGGTATCTCTCTCGTTTCTAGAGAGTACATTTGGAGAGCTTTGAGACGATCCCAATAATTTAGGCGTTTTATCTCGTCTATGCGTGCCGTATATGTTCTCTGTATTCCCTCTATTTCAGGCTTCTAACATGGATGAAAATTTTTCTGACCAAAAAATGAGGTAAGTAATCAGAGGCAATGTATCGGAATGGAGAAAGGTCACAAGTGAAGTACAACAGGGTTCAGTTCTTGCACCAGTAATGTTTAGTGTCTACATAAACGATCTACCAGATGGAATACAAAATTATACATACATGTTTGCTGATGATGCTAAGATAATAGGGAAGATAAGAAACTTAGATGATTGTCATGCCCTTCAAGAAGACCTGGACAAAATAAGTGTATGGAGCACCCCCTTGGCAAATGGAATTTAATGTAAATAAATGTCATGTTATGGAATGTGGAATAGGAGAACACAAATAAGCGATATGATCACTATGTACAAAATAGTAACGGGAATTGACAAAATTGAAAGGGAAGAATTCCTAAGACCTGGAACTTCAAGAACAAGAGGTCATAGATTTAAATTAACTAAACAAAGCTACCGAAGAAATATAAGAAAAATCACTTTTGCAAACAGCGTGAAAGACAGCAGGAGAGAGACAGTGTTCACAATATTTATGAAACAAACTGGAATATGCAGCAGTTGTATGGTGCCAATAACTAAAGAAGCATGTCAATAAAGTGGATAGGATGAAAAGACATGCAACTAAATGACTACTGGAACTGAAAAACAAGCTACAACAAGAGGCTAGAAGCGTTAAATGTGCCAAAGCTAGAAGATTGATGGAGAAGTGGCACCACGATCAATTTGCATGAAACAGTACTTTGCAAACTACTGGTATGCCTTTTGAAAAATTTTGCTATGGAAAAGTGAAGTATTATAAAAAAAAATTCCCAGAGGTAGTTACCAGACTGCTGTTGTAGGATGACAGCTACACTCATGATATCTCATCTTCCCAATATCTTTGTCAAATGCCACTTTGAAACTACCGATGTTTTCAGCATCCCCCGCATTCCCACTTATTTGAACTTTTTACAGCTTTGTAAATAAACTAAGTTGCAGGTTTAACAAATTCCTGTCTATTTTGTCGATCCCTAATACAGTACAGTATAAAGTAAAAGTATCAAAATTATGATCAAAACCAATTTGTATTTACCTTTCCAAAGATAAGCTTTATGCTTGTAAACCCAATACCATACAGAGCAAGCAGAATACAAGCTACAGTATAGTTAAAGAATTTTCATGCACACTACTGTGCTTTAATGTTCTGTAGTACTATTTTGTGAAAACAAAAACACCACTTATGTGAATACCAAATTCCTTTGCCAATCTCTTCAACTTGCCCACTTTTCAGTTAATTTTGTGTCGTGTGTATATACAGTATATATATGTGTGTGTGTGTGTGTATGTATGTATGCGTGTGTGTGTGTGTGTGTGTGTGTGTGTGTGTGTGTGTGTGTGTGTGTGTGTGTGTGTGTGTGTGTGTGTGTGTGTGTGTGTGTGTGTGTGTGTGTGTATGTATGTATGTATGTATGTATGTGTGTGTGTGTTTCACACACACACACACTAGCTAAAACTATCCAGGAATTATGAACTTTGCCTGCAAAGGGTTAAGATGCTATTAGCTTGAATAAAGGTGCACATTTAAATAAATATTTGTTATTGCCTGTAATTGTAAATGAACTTTACTCATCAGAAAATCATTGTTATTATTTTTATATAAATATTATACAGTACTTTAAAAATCTGCCAACTTTGGTTATATAAATAATGAAAATAAATTTTGACAAAACCAAGTTAAGCAATACCACAAGTTTAACAATCATTACCAACATTTGTATTTGCCAGAATGTGAAAACATTCAGATGCTTAGTGCTAAATTGCCATTTACATTACTCTAATACTAAAATATTTCCTTATTTCCATTTTGTCCAATTACCATGTCATTTTTTAAATAGGGTGGTACTTGAAAGTCTTTTTTAAATACTTCAGTATTCATACCCCACTTTGTGTTATAAAGCAAAAGCCAAATTAGACGTCTTAAATGCCTATTAAAGACATCTTCATGGTGGCTTGTTAACATGAACTAAGACGTTATCATACATTTCCCTGAGCTTCAGCCCTCTCAGACTCAATGCAGCATATAGTGGTTTAATGATCTGTCCTAAGGTGGATGTCAATAAAAAAATAGTGACCAACGTGTTCAATTATACCAAAAATTCTCAATGCTCAGTGCTGATGTTGATAAAAGTTAAACTTTCAATTCATGAGTTCCATAATTAATCACTTAACATTAGTTAACCTTCAATTAATGCCAATTAAATAATTAACAGGTACACAGGCCATAAAAAAATCACACACTTAGACCCACCTTCAAGACAAATACAAATTAACCCAATATACTTAGCACATGTCAATATGATCTTCAATAAACAAAGTCCTTCAAAGCCTATTGGCTACCCATATACTGTATTGCACTCTTTGTTAACAGGAGAAACCTGAGTACAGTACAAGGCTCACTTATGGGTTTTCAAGATACTTTTCTAAAACTCAGGTGTAACAGTCCATTAAAGTCAGATAACCTCTGGGACAGTGACTAACTGAATAACTTTGTCAAATTTGTAAACAAATCATACCAGTTTTTCTAAGGAATAAAGTGTTGACAAATAACATTACTGTATAAAGGACACAAACCTCATAAAAACAAAATTTTTAAATTAAAAACAAATATATAAGACTGAAATAAAATTAAACTACTGTAATACTGTTTAAAATTTTGTGATTTTTATGATTTTGTTTCACAGACAAAATGTAACTGCAGTAGATAACAGTACATAACAACTCACTTGTGCTTTAGTTAAAGAGATGAAGTGCAAAATTTCCAAGGGATGAAGTATTCAATAAAGATCTTGCACATGAACTTAAGTATCAGAAATTATGCACTGAACATTCATATAAAACATAAAACTTAAATAAACCTATAAACATTGAACAACAAAACAAAATTCTGTACATTATTACATCATCATCTCCTATAATGTTCGTATATTTCCTGTTTAACTTTACATTCAAGATGAGTAAAGATGCCTAATTATTGCCCACATTTGCTTAGACAATACACTAATGCAATATTTATAGTATAGGAACATTCAGCAATTTGATTACCATCTTTAAATGTAAAGAAAAGCTTAATTTGCTTGTAGAAGAGATTATAAAGCTTAACATGGAGGAATCTCATCACAAGCTGTTTATCATGCTATATTTGCCATTCATTAATTCAAAGGCGTGTGCCAGTGCAGGTGCAAGGAGATGCAGGCTCCCTTCAGCTAACTAGTGAGCAGCAGAATCTATTCTCCGGGCAGACAAGGAACTAAACTTCCACACCCACAATAGTTTTTCTACCTACTGCTGAAAGGGAGAAAAAAAAAAAAGCAAAGCAAAGCAAATAACAATTGATAACCAAAAAAATGGAAATAATATAATCTATACAAAGCAGTGTTCACTACTTTCAGTAATATGATGCAGTAGCAAGCTTCTTGCAAAGGACTAAATACTATCCTTCATTCAGCAAAACCATTCATTCTGGTCCCTATATTTTTTTTGGAGTGCAATGGCAGTGCTGTGTATGTAAAGGGAAAGTGCAAGTGCAACAATAACAACAACGACAGCATTCACAACTCATTCGAGCTCTCATCCAACCATTATAAAATAAGCAACAGAGCATCAAACCACTTCTGAAAACTTCTCGACATAAAAACCTGTCCTGCCTAAACATACCTCACTGGCTGTATATTTTGTACTCGGACACCAGTTTGTGAGGTATCATGGCTTACATTCCAATTCTGGTATCTCTCTATGTCCTGTGTATACCTTCTGCCATCATAGCTCATAAAATATTACCCATTTACATAGCATAAATATATACGTTATCTGTATCTAATTCAACCTGCTTTGTGCTCAAATTGAATTCTATCCCCAAAAATACTTTGACATGATCATTCACCCTATATGAATTAAATTTAACATATTATTTATATATATATATATATATATATATATATATATATATATATATATATATATATATATATATATATATATATATATATATATATATATATATATATATATATATATATATATATATATACTATATATATATATATATATAATATTATATATATATATATATATATATATATGAATGAGGATATTTGTCAAAACTAATAAATCCCTTCAAATGCAAAAGAAAATCATAATTTGGTATTAAATAAGCTCTTTTAAATAATATTTTGAGAATTAATGTTATTAAATTTTTTACAATATTCAAATTCCTTTGACACTGATGAATGTTTAAAACTAAAGAGCACAAAAAGCAAGTCCAACTGCAAGATTACGTGACAAATTTGATGATTTGTTCTTGTATAATGTCAATAAAGAAAACAAAAAAGCCCAAAGGAGTTCATCATTAAATTTCCTCAGTCGAGGCTAATGTCATGATGAAGGCACTCCATTTTAAAAGGCAGAATCGTCAGAGAAGCAAATGGCTTTAATAACTTACTATTAACACTTTATATAATCCTTGCCACACATGTACATTTCTGTCATTCTTAGCAAACTATACAGCCATACCCATTTGGTGTACCATAAAATACTTCTCAAGTACGGAATATACAGTTCAAAATTGTCCATACATTTTTTTTTTATCACACAGTGTAAGGTTAGGCAATGTTCATTTTTCCACAGCAGAACAAGATATGGCATGGTCAATATTTCAAATATACATGCATATTCAACTTTTGATCTGAGCACCACCCGCTTATCAAGCCAGTCTCAAAAGATAACCCTTTTTCCTGACATAATGAGCCAGCCTTCATACACCTAAATATTTTTTTACTCCAATTGTGTCAATGAATAATGCTAACTAATTTCATTATTTCTAATACCTACTGATATATTTACTGTATTTTCAATATCAACAATTCTAATAAATTAATATCTTGTTTATATCCACATCCTTATTATATATTATCATCACAAATCGAATCAAATGCATCATTTTCAACAGTGCTTGGCTCGGCTCTTCCATTGGATTTAGCTGGTGCGGACGGACGGTTGTCGAGGATGTTTAGGTCACTGAGGCGCTCACTGAGACGTCTTAGGGATAACTCACCTATTGGGGACTGTGTACTGCCATCCTAAAATGAATAAAATATAATGACTGAGAATTTTGTTAAAAAATATGCAGTAAATAAATGAATATACAAGTATACAATATTATTTAGTTTAAAGCCATTTTCAAGCCAATTCAAGAATTTAGAAAAATTCTTGAGATTTCACAAAATAAAGTAAGAGGAGGATATTATTTGCTAATTAGGTGGTACACCTACAACAGCTATGAGATGGAGCCCTAGAGTCTTGCTCCCTATAAACACAGGTAAGCACTACCGGTATAAATCAGGATGGAATAATATGCCGACTATGCCATTGTCAAGTATATAGTGTCTTCCGAAAGGCTAATAAATGTAATTATAAATTATTTTAATTATAATTAAAATATTTTAATTTAATAAATTATTTTAATTTAACTTACAGAAAAGTATCATAAGTGGTCTAAGACTGAACACTTTATCCAAATTACTATAAAATACTCCTAAATAACAAATTTATTAACTTTTATGTGAATTGATGCTGCTTCGGTAATGGTTGAATAATGCATTAAAAAATTCCCAAAAGAAATTCACAAATTGTGACATCAGAGATATAGCAACATGTTAAACACATAGATAGATTCACACTAACGTCCTCTTTTTATTGTTTAACACTGTATGCCATTTAATAAATGACTTTAGTTAAAGAGACATTTGGTAAGCTAGAGTTTGTTGATGCAGTATTAAAATTCACTGTGATACATCACCAATTTAAATACACTGAATATGAAAGTAAGTCATTGCACAAAATCATTTTTTCTGAGTTAATGCATCCTATTAGGCAAGGCTAGGTGAGATGAGGAGAAATTGGGTTAGGATAGGGTAAGTTAAGGGAATATTGGGATCTAACTCAACACCATCATTATTCTTTCCAACATAAAAGAATAGATTAGTGCATGGGATTCAATTTTAATCCTTAATATGACTACTCATTCTCCATATACTGAGCCTTAATTATGACTATCTGAAGGTTTACTGTAGCACCAATTTCTTTTTTTCATGCGCTACATTTTTTCTTCAGAAAAATGCTTTAGTTGTTCTGGTATCTGGAAGCTGGACAAAGAGAATCAAAATGTTCAAAACACCATCTTAATTTTTCATTAGATTATTAATATAGTGTCAAACTATTAAGCTTCTTACCACTGGTAGACTCTCTCCGGTGTGATTTAGAGTAACCTGTGTACTGCTGCCATCTCGCCGCATGTAGGACAGGCTTCCCTTTCGAACACGCTCACTTGGCTAGTGAGAAGGAAAATGTATATATACTGTACTGGATATTGTTTGTGGAAAATTATTTACTTTTAAATATCAAGATATTATTCACAATGTGTGTGTAAAGAATAGTTATAACTTAGATATCCAGAGTAAACACAAGCTAAGAAACATTAACTCTTTGCAAATGCTTTACATCAAAATACTGTATGTACATTAGTGTAACAATATAGTTTGTGTAAATTTACTGGATTAAGTTTCCCACTTCAATTTTAATCTGCACTCAGGTGAAACTCACCCAAAGAATTCCTACACATATATTAACCATGCCAAAATATTACAAAAATAAAGAATTACTACGAGGAATATTCCAATGCACACCAAAGGGTTGGTAATACTGTTTATGCTTATGGATACAATCACAATTTTTTTCATACAGGTACAGTACGATCAAAGTTATCATTATATGATAAATTTTTCATTAATAAGTACAATATTTATCTTGGAGAGCAATAACCCAATACTGTATGGCATAATTACAAAAACAGTAAACTAGATATGTTTCGATTACAAGAGAGGGGTCCAGAAAGTTGACCCCTTGAGCCAGCATACATTAAGATATGACCAGGGTAGTGCAATGAATACACAAGCTAAACTTATTACACAGTTCTTCAATGAGTGCAGGGAGTATAATGACTACAAAATGTGTAATGAGCACTAGTTGACATAAAGAGTATTGACCGCAAGTGGCTGAGGTGGTGGTGGTGCAGAGGAAGAAGTAAAAGGCATAGTAGAATAGGTTAAAAGAAATGAAGTTGGCGAAAGAGGTGATGAGGAAATGGCGGTGGTGGTGATAGAGAAGGAAGTACTTCCCTAACTAATGGAAGTGAATTCTAGCTCTTCATGTCCCACTACCAGCCTTATTGTTCCTGATGTGGTATATTTGAATTCTGCTGACATTTGAATTGTCATATCTAGCCTTGTAAATATAGATGGAGGTTGTTTCAATGACGTATTTCAGTGCATTCCACTTATCGACTATCCGTACAGGAAATGAGTATATATTTCCATACATTTCTTCAAAACCAATGTGCTTTCTTCAATATCATCTTGTCCTATTTTATCTCACTTTAAAAGAGGTTGTCCTTGCCCATTTCATCTATGCATAAGCATTCTTGATGCACAGGCTATATCAGAGAGGTAAAATGTGGTTTTAAAGATTTAAACTTTTTTATTTGTGGTCAGCACGAGTTTTTCATCCAAGATCTTCCTCCTACTAATTACATGCATTATATAAAAAATCTGAAGCTAACCAGCCACATTTAAACTCCTCAATTTATAAGTTAAAGACCAACCTTTCTGCTGGTGCCTTGATCTGCTCGCCAGTAAGAGGTACTTTCACACCATGCTCTTGCATGAAACACAAATAAGCAGCCTCGTCTAACTCCCCAGGCACTTATTTCTTGAAACATTTTTCCCTGAACCTTTGCCACCAGTTCTTCCCCATTTTGTACTCAAAACCTACATTACAGTATCTATTCCTTTACATTAGGAATAGTATGCAACAATACCAAAAGCCTCTGCCAGCTGCCTCACCTCCCACTCTTGTTCACTTTTCTTATTTAGCATTTTCTCACTACTGCTGCTAGTAGACATCCTTTCTATTTATAATAATGAAGTGTTAAAATTACGAACAACTTTGAGAAAGAAAGGCACCTAGACAATCTTTTTCCTGGCGAGGGACAACATAGCGAGAAAAGAAACAGGTAAAGCACAGACATGCAACAGAGATGTAAAGAAATACTTATATGTAGTAAGAGTGGTAAATAAATGGAATGAGTTGGAACTGGAGGTGGTGGGAACAACCACCATTCACAGCTTTAGGAGCAAGATCATTGTAAAGTTAGAAGGCATAAATTCATCCTCAAAAATAGCTATGAGGAGGGGCTGTAGAGCTGGATTTTGCTTCTAGTATACATAAGTTAGCAAACACATGGCCAGGTCACATCCAACTGCAGCAACGTTACAGGGACCAATAGAATAAAACATACAATCATACAACTTTAAGTAACTGTAAATAAAATCTCTCCAAAAATAAGATGAATTTCTTAGTATTGACTACTGGACAATAGTAAAAAAATTTTTTTTGTACATGTGGGTATAAATTTGTTTTTTGTACATGTGGGTATACCCCTGTGCAGAGAAAGCCAATGCATTAAAATGGATAGGTAGTGGACACAATGTTATATTAATGCACTGTACTATATATCAAGATTTAAATTTAATGAAATTTGTACACAATAACATCTGACTTATACAGTACATTCATCCATAAATAATGACCATCTTGCATCATTACATTTGTGAGTCCCACTTCTTCTAATACCTGTACAAGCAGAATGGGGCTCAGCTGAACCATTATGGTCCAAGCACATTTTGAGGAAAAATAAAAATCTGAAGAAAATATTTACCGTCTTAACTTTATGACCACGCTTGTGAGTGAGAAGCTCTTGTACCATGCCCTGTAGACACATGGACATGAGGACGGCTTGGGGGCTGGTGACAGTCACCCAACGCATGTCCTCACGACTCATCAAATATTCAAATGATAGTTCCAAGTTGACATGACGACCTCCCTCCAGACTACTGCAGCTGCTTCTACTGCTGCTGCTGTTACTACTAGTGGTGCTGCTGGTACTATTACTGCTGTTGCTAGTGGAACTGGTCCTACTACTGCTTGACCCCTCTACTGGCTGTTACAAGATATAAATATAAATAAATAAATAAAATGTTTATTCAGGTAAGGTACATACATACAAGATTTGTACAAAAATTGCTAGGTTTATAGATAGAGCTGGTACATACAATGCCTAAAGCCACTATTACGCAAAGCGTTTCGGGCAGGAAACATATGTATAATCATTATATAATCAATATAATCATTCATTATCAATATTAGGCATAAATATTATATCAAGTGAATGGTTAAGGGATCCAAATCCTGTTTTTGGATGTGTTTCAATTTTTTTCATTGTCGTTAGATGGCCTTGACTATTAGTTACGTGTTGAGATTTATTTGAAAGAAATATGACAACTGAACACTTATTTTTATTTTTGAAGTTGTGATGACTACCCATAAAATTCTGCTAATAATGATGAATTGCTAACTAGTATTTTTGTTTACTGTTAAATATAAAATATTATCAGATGAATCATATACAAGTCACAGGAAAGTACATCCAAAGTAATTTATATATTTAAAACAGATATTGTTGAGGATTTGTGGCACTGTAATTCTGGCCAGAAATTTCAAATCTCAAACTCAATTTTTGTAATTCCTAGAATCAAAAGTTGTAAATGGATGCCATCTTGAGGTTATCTTGAGATTATTTCGGGGCTAAGTGTCCCCGCGCAAGGGGGGAGGGGGGGGTTTACGCTGTAACACCCATGACCCCCTCCCCACCGCGAGAGTTCACACCCAGGGAAGCGTTCTCCAAGAGGTCAGCCCAGATGACCTCTGGATTATCTTGTATGTTGATTAAAAATTCCTGGGTTAGTCTTAGTCAGCTAGTTTCAAGTATGTAATATTTCATGATATTCTTGTCAAACATTGCAATGGAATTAGACCCCAGGTTCTTATGTGTAAACATCCATGGATCTTCCATGGTTGTGAACTCTAGGGGGGGGGGGGTCATGGGTGTTACACTATGTATGAATAATAATACTAATAATAATAATAATAATGAGTGATGATCTGATGATAAAAACACTCACTTCTGTGACCGATCACCTAGCTTTCACATTGTCCAAGTATTAATTTTCTTAACTGTTTTAGCTCATGTTTGCTTTCTTGTATCTTTGCTATGGTGAAACATTAAGTCTGCATCTTTTAAGGCAAATTAGTTTTAAGTTTTGTCATAACACCAGCACTGCTACTCACCTGTTGTACTGTTATTCTCCAGCATCTCATGCGAGTCACCTTGAAGTTGCCCTCCTTAACAGAACCATCTTCACACTCAATTCTTGGAGAAAAAAAAAGAAAAAGAAAAAAATAATTGGATTCAAACTAAGTTTTAAAACAAAAGAAATTTATTACATTAAACACTAACAATCTGAAAAATGTTACACGGATGTGATTATCTATAGATTAATTTACAGCAGAAAACACATCTAAATAATGATATGCACACAAACCTTAAATATATAACAGAGGCCCTTAAATAAGCCAATATTGACCGTAAGCAAGTGCGAGAACGGGTTGCAGGCCCACCCTACTCTCCATCAGTTCTATGCTCTCTATTTTAACAGTGGTCAAAGATTTGGAGTGAAGATTTGCTGCGATGCCAAGTGTTAATTTTAAGTTGAACAGATGTCGAAGGCCGATTGAAGAATATATAGGTGATGCTTAACCCTTAAGTGTGTGCAATACTATATACATTTAGAACAAAACTTTAAACTTTCTTCTTTCCTTGAATAATTTCATATAAATTAAATTCTGATATATCAGTTCCTCAAATCTGGATAAAGAGTTAGCACTTATTTTTACATATTGTTGAAAGAATTAACGATAAAATATTAATATATACAGTATTTGTGATTGAAGGACCATAAATAGTCTCAAACTTTATATTTTTGCCTTAATTGTTATTTATGATTCATATACTGAAAGAAAGACTGACCCACAAGCCAAACACCTAAATGATTAAACAGTGCATGATGTGATGACCAACATATCATGCACATAAATACAGTGTATGGTACTCTCACAATTAATGAAACAAACTGCACTCAAAAGGGGCACTTAATGCAATCAATTTTAACTTCTCATGAGATTCAGAATCTTGGTTAATCTGCATCCAATACTGAGCTGTTTTGTGTTTAATTTCTACACTGCAAATATGCAGCTTTCACTCCAAACAGGTTTTGGAATATATGGATGAAAGGCACACATCTTCAGAAACTCTACCCATAAAATCACAAATAAAACTTGCATTAGCCTACCTAAAATTAAGCTCTCTGTTCCCGGCACTAATCAAAACAGGAGTGCCTGGTTTGGGAAAATCACAAGTGCACTGCTGGAATTGTAGATATCCATAGTACTTTAGTGTTCTCGCTAGGTCCAGGTACTGAAATCAAAGATGATCTGTTATAAAGGACTAAAATTTTATATTATTATTTATAATATTTATAATAACTATATAATAAATTGTATCAACAGCCATTTAAATAGATTAATAGACTAGTTAAATCATGAAGTAAATATACAGTATTATAAGATTTACTCACCTGAATCAACGAACAAGAGTTCGCTGAATCAGGGGATGTGTGAATATGCTTAGGATGTTGGGACCGAGTTCACAGATGGGAGCAACATTACAAGAAATAATTAGGGGCCTTGGGAATGCCACTGAGCATATTTAAAACCAAATTCTATGGTTCTTCATTATTGTATTTCCAGTTGTAAAGGTTTTTGTTCAATAAAATATAAGACTTTTTCCTTTGAAAATGTGATTTCGAGGCATGGTCATGGGAAATATGATAAATGTGGTTAAATCTCTTAACAGACAGGTTCTCTTGGTTGTTGCCTTTCATACGACAGGTTGAAATTATAATTTTGCTCAGTGATATCAGCCCATAAAGCATGGGAAATATTAGGTATGAATGGTAACTCTTAATATGGCTCCAATCACGTTTCTAATGATTTTCATAGATGGGCGCAACATTATAAGAAATAGTAAGATGTTTGGGAAGGCATATATTGTGCCTATAATTGAGCATATAATTGTAATATTTAAAACCAAATTCTATGATTCATTTAATTTTGAAATTCACTGGTTTTTGTTCACTAATATGGGTCTTTTTTTTCCTTTGAAAATGAGATTTCAAGGCTAAGGCATAGAAAATATGCTAGATGAAGGTAAATTAGCTTTACAGACAGGTTCTCTTGTCCTTCATATTATTGAATGAATTTAAAATTTCAGTCAGTGGAACCAACCCATAGTGTAGGAAATATTAAGGTATGAATAGTAACTCCCTTAATACTGCATGGCTATTTTGATGGTTTTTGAAGATGGACTCAACATTACAAGAAACAGTTGGAGCTTTTGGAAAGTTAGTGAGGCTATTTAAAACCAAATTCTATGGTTTGTTTTCATTTTGAGTTGGCATCTTGATTATCTTGAGATGATTTCGGGGCTTTTTAGTGTCCCCGCGGCCTGGTCCTCAACCAGGCCTCCACCCCCAAGAAGCAGCCCGTGACAGCTGACTAACACCCAGGTACCTATTTTACTGCTAGGTAACAGGGGCATAGGGTGAAAGAAACTCTGCCCATTGTTTCTCGCCGGCGCCTGGGATCGAACCCAGGACCACAGGATCACAAGTCCAGCATGCTGTCCGCTCGGCCGACCGGCATGGTTTTTGTTTACTCAGGCATGAGTTCTGAGGCTCAGGATGTAAGAAATAAGCTAGATGTGGTTAAATTTTATTGCTAAAATGTTCATTTAGTAATTGTCCATTATATTATAGGCTGAAATGTAAATTTTGCTAAGTGAAATGAGCCCACAGGGCATGGGAAATAAATCCTGGAGGCATCTCCGGTTGCAACAGATTAGAGTTGGTCCCATATAGGTTGGTTCATTGAACTGAGGTTGTACTGTACTGACAAAGGTGGGCAGGAGCAAGTTTTTAATTCCTGGAACTCTGTCCATTATGAAGACCGTGACTGGAAACGGCGACCCTTTTTCCAAGAAGGATCAAAGTGGGGACCAACAATCCATTTTAAAGCAAATCCGGACAATCCATTTTTAAATTGGAGAAATTTCTCAGAGAGGGGTCTGTCAAACATAAATCCATTAAGGGCTTGTTCTCTAGCCTGGCATTGAAGGATTTGTTCATCAAATTCAATAAGCCTATACCCTCCAGTTCTGCCATGGAGAGGATCTACTCTTTCCAGAAAGAGATCAAGCTAAAGCAATCAGAGCTCAGCGACAGCCATTTTGAAATGCTAGTCGTTTTGGAGGGAAACTACCGCATTCACCTTTTTTATTGCATTTCTTCCTAATTTCATTATATTGCATTAATTTTATTATTCTGCCTTTAGTTTATTAAAATTAATTATTAATGATTTCCAGTGTTTTCAATTGTATATTTAATTTTAATTAACTATTTCACTTTTATTTAATGCATGGACCAAGGACTGAGTTGGTCATAGCTCCTTTCTTCCAAAAAGACCGTCACTGGGATTATCAGTTCTTTTTTTGAATGTAAGTATACACTCAAATATATGTATATGTGCCATTCTGGAAATGGCACATATATATCAGGGAATTAAAACAACAAATGATAAAGCCATGATATTTTAGACTAGCATTATGAAGCTGTTCCAGAGTAAAGGCATCATTCAACTAAATTTTCTTGTAATCCAAAGACATCTTTGCCCTTAACCATTTCAACTAAAGGATTCTTTACAGTACTGTATATGTATTTTAATTTTCACATTCATCTTAGAAATACAGTTAAATCACCAAAGACATTTCTGTATAGAGAATGTATCATGACATTCCTTGAACATTAAGAAACTAGCCTCTTTTGGTGAGAGAACCACCTTATATTTAACAAAACATTTCAGGTACTAACTTCTCTTTTGGCTCCTTTAGCTTGAAGTGCTGCTAATTGTCTCTGAATTTCACGATTAGTTAAGATCCAGCCTCGCTCTACATCCTGCACAGTCTGGGCATAGAGGAGATTCAATCCAACACGGTCTCCCATCACATCAAGATCAACAGTAGGGTCCCAGTAACTGCAACATTAAAGGGATTTTGTTCATGCCTTTATATAACTACAGTACAGTTTTAACAAATTCAGCAAATCAACAGATTTTCACTTGTACATCTTATTTTTTTTGTTAATGAAGTGTTGAATGTAATGTAATATCATTTTTTGTGCAGAATTTCTAGTGGTTCCTCTGAAGTTATGGTACTACTGTAATTCAGAAAAGGTGACAGTACCAATCAGGCCTATGACAACTTTCATAAAAGCCAGATAGAGCACAGGACCAGAATCTGGCTTTCTCACAGACACAATGTAGGCACAATTTGGAAATCAACCTACCATGAAAGTATAATACAAAAAAGTAAAGGAATCACTAAACAAACCAATGCATATAAGAAACTAACAACATGAAAACATGGCAACCAAACTTTGTCCAAGAGTAACAACTCAACACCACTAGGTGAAAACCTAGAAATTTAAGCACACCACAAACCAATAATAATGTGTCAGATGTGGGATTTTTCGGAGAAGGGTGACAAGCCGTGTTATCTACTAGGGTGCTTTTCAGGCAAGCACGTTTAGCAGTGTATTCGGTTACCTTCCCCACAACTCTCTCGGGGGGTTGGGGGTTCCCTTAACAAAACACAGTACTACCATGAAAACTAGCACCATCATATATTACCAAAACATCCACACCAACATTTAAGAGCATTACAACATAATGCAGTAATTACATAATGATGAGATACATGCAAGTCCATATTCTGTATAGAAATGGCAGGTTAATTTTAAATGCTATGAAAGTTTTGTATGCATCATATCAGAAGACGATTCATAGCCTATCCGAGTGATAACGTGCCCCCCCCCCCCCAAAAAAAAACTGCTTAAACTAATCTCTCAAGATGTGTACACACACACACACACACAACATACGGTTCTGTTCACATACACAATTCCAATTTAGTGTTACATGTATTTTTAACTTCTTCCAGATATAAATTATCAATCATACTGTACATTGGTTAGATATATTTTACTTTCACCAACTAACTCTGGCTTCCATAAAATATGGCTAAATGTAATATTATTTTTAAAGAACTTACTTCTTTCTTAGAACTATCCTGTGCATGCCTTTGACGCATCTCTGAGAAATGTAGGGACTTTCAAAGTCCTGCAGTCGTTTCACAACTGTTAAACATGAACAGAAATTAGTGGGTTAAGCTTATTCCATTCTTTTTTAATATCTCATTTGAAACCTACAAGGAGTGAATAAAAGATAAGACTTGTTGTTAGTCATCATAAACACATTGTCTATATTTAACTTCTAATTCCAATAACACTTCAGAAGAATATCATTACTCCAGAAGCAATTTTTTTTTTATTATTTTTGAAAGAAGGGTGAGTGAAAGATGGAATAATAATACTAGTATTAACAATGAATTATTATTTTGAAGTTTGTTTTTCTTGAATGTCCATTCTTTTATAACAAATCACAAGTATCAAAACATTTAGCAGTAAACACGAAAAACCCCTTTATATTCTAAAGTGACAATATGATCTTCAGGATCATGAGCTCTCGAGAAAAAACGAGGAGAGATTTGTTTCAGCTGGTACTTAACAAATAGTGAGGTTAAGAACATTCTTAACATGAAAATTATTAACAAACACTGAATTTGTTTTAAGTTCCTGTAATCTTACAATTTTTTGTAGCTAGATTGCATGATCATTAAAAGGCAAAATTTTCTAACTTCAGCGGAATAAAAAAGGAATGTTAAAATATGTAAAAATAAACTTACCAATCAGATCACTCTCTTCTTTTTTAACAAGGAATAGAGCAAAGTAGTAAACCAATTCATTTGGAAGGTGAATGTGACTGCATACTTTCTGAAATAGGAAGCCAAAAGTTACAAATGATATAAAAGTTTACAGAATTACACTTATAACTACAGTATATTGCCCATATTCCACCATCTGCTGCCAGTGCTCCACGCTCACACATGCTCCATGCTCACACATGCTGCCAGTGCTGCACTCTCGCGCATGCTCCACCATCTGCTGCCAGTGCTACACGTTCACACATGCTCCACCATCTGCTGCCAGTGCTCCACGCTCACACATGCTCCATGCTCACACATGCTGCCAGTGCTGCACTCTCGCGCATGCTCCACCATCTGCTGCCAGTGCTACACGCTCACACATGCTCCACCATCTGCTGCCAGTGCTCCACGCCCACACATACATGACACTAAAGGCAGTGATGATGTGTCAGTCCATCCAAGAGTCTTATCAAATCACGACATAACAGAAGTGGGAGACACAGTCAATATAACACAAGAAGGAAGGTGAGGTGAAAGGGAAGGAGAGGTAAGTGTAGAAGTAAAGGAAGAAACCCAGCAAACATAAAAATAAATGAAACTGCAAAAGATCCAATGGTAGCTAAACAAAATAAGCAGAAAAGGGAAGAGAAAGGAAAAGAGTGAAATAATACAAAAACCCAAAAGACACACGTCAGATCAATCTTTCTAAGAAAATATGAGCATTTAACTACTGTATGTATTGAGAAGGTAAAAAACTCAAAAACAACAAATCAAGGATTAATTGTGCATGAGAGCTGATTTAACAAGATCGTATCTGGAGGTAATGAGGCAGGAAAGATTATTTGAAAGAAGACCAAGCATTAGGATGATTGGAGTCCCTACCATGACAGAAAAGATCATTGTTTATGTCAGCAAGTTTAGAACTTTTTGTTATTTTAAGGTTTTGTCAGTTAAAGAGTGGCCAGTTTCACTAAAGTATTGAAGAGGACAAGAAGAACAGGAAACTGAATCAAACATTAGTGGCACTGGAAGCAGTAGTAGTAGTATGAACCACATTGCTACGAAGTGTATTAGTTTGTAGAAAAGCAAGTTTTATATCAAAAGCACAAAGGGTATTAGCGAGAGTTTTATGTTCAAATGTGAAAGGAAGACAAAACACAGGGTTTCAAGTATTGGGAGCAGGCACAATGATAAAATTTAGGAGGATAGCCAAAGCAAGAGAATGAATTATAAAGAGAAATTTCAGAATTAAGAAACTGTCACAGATGCATAGAGCCCAGAGGGAGAGGGAGACAAGGACACTTTTCTTGACAGGAGTAGGATGGTATGAAATTTTTGTTATGTACATACCACTGTGCACAGGCTTGTAGTAGACAGAGAAAGATAAGCCAGACAAAGCTGTGAACTTGTACATCATAATACACCAAACCTCCAACAGGTGGCAACCCAGGTCATACAAGGTTCCAGTCAGCCTGCACCCCCTCACTCACATGAACTGCCCAAACCCAAATCCCTATACCCTACTGGGAAAAGGGAAGAGAGTGGAATCTACTGAGGGGCCCCACCAGAGAAGCGTCTTTAATTACATTTAATTACTTCTTATTTCTAGAAGAACCACTGAATAGCTCTGAGTTGACTCTCAATCTGGAAACAACCAGGTTTATTACAAACTTGACAGACTACATACCTCAAGAAGGTCATCTGTTTGTAGTGTGGGTGGAACACTGAGTGTCACCTTCTGGCCACTCATCATGTAAATGTCAATTGGCACCTCGTCTTGGCCCCCCCCAGCCCGCTGGGTCTCATTTTGGGCAGACACAAGGAAACCATTGAACACATCATTATTTAGCACACGAGGATCTTGGCTCACTGGTTCATCATGTAAGAAAAATGAAATAATCAATCATTAGAATAAAAACATTGAATTTACTTTCACATTAAATCCTGTATACTGTATCTTTAGGTATTATAACCAGAGGTATCTTTATCATTACAGTGCATTGGTAGAAGCAGGATATGTAATCAAGTCGTGAAATGCAAGGAAATTCTCATTCTTGATTAAGGTGGTCGACAGATGGAATGAACTTAAAGAAGTTTCCCTACAATAAAGTCATTTCCCAATAATAAAAAAAAGGCACAGACCCTGAACATCAAGACGTAATCAGTGTGCAAGGTATAGAAGGTTACGAGGCAGTGTTTACAGCTAGAAATGCCCCATTTCTCATTTTCACTGATTGGAGACACATTAGTCCAAAGCAGATAGTGAAGCAGTACAAAACAGGTTTTTGAAGTCCAAAGGGTTCCTTCTGGTTCACCAATAATGGAGCCTTCTCCAGGGGTTACCCCCTTTCTTGGTGGTGTCAGTAGTTGAGAGTTTCCCCAATTATGGATCCATTCCCATCTTTTCTAGAGGGTTCTATGGGTGTGGATTCTCCTTTCATGGAGGGGACACCATCAGTCATCCCAGGCATCTGATGTGGATCATAGCTCTTCTCTGAGATCTCTGGATCTTTGAGGACTGGGGGTCTTCAGGGTAATGGGGGGGAAGGGGCTCAAGGGGGGTCAGTGAATAATCTTTAACCCTTTTTGGCCTCTGGTCCATCATGTGCGAGTTATAACTAAACACAGGGGGGAGCTTTACTTATCCCATGTCACAGTTTTAGTCAGATTTCTCAATTCCCGTCCAAATGGGTGCATTTCCAGGTGCTGGCTTGTCTCTTGACTCATCTTTCTTAGACAGATTGCCAACATATTGTCTGTCCCCGACTTTTGTCTGGGTGTACATGCTTTAGGTTTTCCTGGGCGACCAGGACCATGGCTCTTGTGAGTCTGGGTCTGGGTCTGTCCCTGTCTCTTGGTTTAGGTTTGAGGTTCCAACCTCCTGGGTTGCAAATAACCCTTTGTTTACTTTGGTATGGAGCTTGGTACGGTTTTCACCATACCGAATGCTCCAGTGACATTAAATGGAGTTGGAATTTTAGGTGATTAATGGGAGGGTTCATATTTTGAGGAACTCAACTCCTGCATGTTTGGCCAAAACTCTGCCCCAGAATGTGTTTGGCATGTGAGTTTGCATGTCCTTTCTGCTCCTCTGACTGCGAAGGATAACAGAATGCATCGCCAGTTCTCTTCCACGCCCTGCATCTCATCTGTCCAGGAGCTGTTTTTCTTGTCAGCTTCAGTATGGTTTGGATACTTTGATTACTGTATCGAGGATTGAGTCCCTATTGCCTGTGAGAGGGGCTATAGAGGCGGTGTCAAAATTGTTCACCCCCCTCCTTTGGGTTGATGGAATGAACGTCTACTCAACTCTGTTGGGATGCTGGCAAGGTGTCCATTCCCACCTGTTGGATTAAGCTTGGTCTCTCCCTCATACTTTTCTCTGGAAGCTGGTTCCGGAAGCTGCACCTATGTCATTTTAGCCACTTTGCCGTATATTGTCACAGAGGGTAGGGAGAATTCATTGGCTGGGGTCCTCGCTGCATCCTGATCAGGGTAGGCATCCAAAGGTGCCCGGTTCTGGGTCTATTGCATTACCTTCAGCACATGCGTCTTCCTCTCACAATGTGTGGGACAGACAAGTGGTCTTGAGTAAAACCCCTAATATAATTTGTGCTGTCATTAAATCTAATGGTACACATCAGATCAAAGTATTCTCATCATATACTCCTTATTTCTTCACCAGTTACCACAAGGTATGCAAATTACATATAAAACTTACATACAAATTATATATAAACTAAATTTAGAGAGATACCACTTTTTATTCACAGAGCTAATCACTCCATGATAATTTAAGGTTCTGAGAGAAATGTAAACTTCAGTATCAGAATTACAGTACTGTATCTAGATTTTAAAACAGTTATTTGTAAGATTATGTCCACATTTCTTCCATGTGCTGCATTACATATAGTTAAACTGGCTCCTAATAATTACCTTATCAAGAGCATCATATTACACTAATAATTCATGTTGGTTAACCTCTAATGTATACTTACACTGAAGAATGTACTTTTCCAGACTGACTCTTCGCTCTTCTGTCTGAGTAGGAGATAAGGGCAAGAGTTTCTTTGGGGGAAAGGAAGGGAGCGTTGACCCCCCTAGGTCTCTCCTGAGCTGTTCATGGAGGCTATATAGCTGTCTATATCGAACTGTACAGTGAAACACTCCATTTATGTGAATGTTGTAGGCCTGAAATAAAAGTTAAGAACAGTTGAAATTGAAAATACACTAATTTACAGAATTTAATGCTTTCATTATAAGCATTCAAATCGATAAATATAACAAACTTATTCATATAAATGCTCTAATATAAATAAGGAAAAGGTGCGTGTTGTATTATGGAAATGTGCAAGTATTTTCTTAAACACCCAACTATCTGAAAATAAAGAAAGTGAGCATGTTTTGGTCCATCCGGGACCATTATCTGACAGTCACTTCCTTTAATGTCCGAGGCGTGGACTGGATGGTTAATTATCAGTCACATTATCGTGACTCACTGTTTACATATGGATTTTCTTTTATGTAAAAATATACATACATTTTCTTTTATGTAAAAATATACATACATTTTCTTTTATGTAAAAATATACATACATTTTCTTTTATGTAAAAATATACATACATTTTCTTTTATGTAAAAATATACATACATTTTCTTTTATGTAAAAATATACATACATTTTCTTTTATGTAAAAATATACATACATTTTCTTTTATGTAAAAATATACATACATTTTCTTTTATGTAAAAATATACATACATTTTCTTTTATGTAAAAATATACATACATTTTCTTTTATGTAAAAATATACATACATTTTCTTTTATGTAAAAATATACATACATTTTCTTTTATGTAAAAATATACATACATTTTCTTTTATGTAAAAATATACATACATTTTCTTTTATGTAAAAATATACATACATTTTCTTTTATGTAAAAAATATACATACATTTTCTTTTATGTAAAAATATACATACATTTTCTTTTATGTAAAAATATACATACATTTTCTTTTATGTAAAAATATACATACATTTTCTTTTATGTAAAAATATACATACATTTTCTTTTATGTAAAAATATACATACATTTTCTTTTATGTAAAAATATACATACATTTTCTTTTATGTAAAAATATACATACATTTTCTTTTATGTAAAAATATACATACATTTTCTTGTATGTAAAAATATACATACATTTTCTTGTATGTAAAAATATACATACATTTTCTTGTATGTGAAAATATACATACATTTTCTTTTATGTAAAAATATACATACATTTTCTTTTATGTAAAAATATACATACATGTGGATTTTCTTTTATGTAGAAATAATTTGTGGAATTAAGTGCTGTGCATACATTAAGGAGTTATAAATCCATGGAACCTCCTACCCACAGAAGGAATAAATGCCAAAATATTGCTACAGTGCAAAATACAGAGCTGGATAAAATAAAGAAAAATGAGGGGGTATCTTCGACAAGTTGCCAGCTTCCTGTCCTTGTCGAGACCATTAGAGAGATGGTAGCCCTCTGGTAAATTCAGAACTTCTTTTTAAAAAGAAATACCCAGTGCATCTCCATTTAAACTATTTACTTGATCATGGCTATGTATCTTATTTTGGGATATCAAAATTTCACTATTCACATAATTTCTAAATTTGAGTTGATGCGAATACTCTGAACATTGTATTCAACTATATAAGGCCATTTATAAATGGGACTTTGCCTCTTGTTGACCAAATCAACGACAAGAGGTAGGCACTAGAAATATATCTTCACTGTGTTGTTTCTGGGAGGTTTATAAAAAAGTTTATTATAGCAGTTCAAGGCACAAAGTGTGCAGTAATTTATACCTGACTTGGCTAATATTGGTATTGTACTGGTGTTGGGGGCGTGTGGTGTGTGGGTGTGTTCGATACATGTATGACCTGTATGGAATCCAAATTATATTCATTTCTGCATCCCATCCTGCAATCATGCATCATTTTTGTCTCCTCCCATCTATTATTTGATCTACTACACTTATTTTATGCATCTAAATAAAGACCAGTATTCCCAAATTTCTGTGTAGTCATCTTCCTGTTTATATTGTTCTGTTCCTCTCGCAAGAACACTTTGGCAGGGAAACTGCTTATAAAAATACTTTTAATTTTCCTTTTTAGTTCAGCTATTTTGAAATGTTCGGGTCATTTGTGCCTCCACCAACGATACCCTTCACACCAGATTCCTCTCAACCACCACCACACACTCTACACACACAAACTGTAAAAATCAGGTGATGGGCATTTCACAAAATTGTGAATATTGAAAAAAATGGGATGTCTGCCATGTCCCTTACTGTACAAGATTAAATATAAACCGTGCATAACAAAATTATAAATAGTACATAATTGTAGCTATAGGCTGCAAATGACTAGGCAAAGCAGTGTTTAACCCACATATTAAAAGGCAGTTAGGCTTCCAAAATTTCTGTAGGGAAATGTTAAGAGTGTGATGAGAAAGTAAGTGGTGTGTTAAGAGGGAGAAAATAAGCGTATATAAGGTAAGAGTTGTGGCAGCAGTTGAGCCCCACTGAAGTACGCACATCCCCCCGACCCCCTCAACTTTCCACTCACTACATAGGTGCTCCCCGTGTCTTCTTTACACTCCTGGGTATCTGGTATGGAAAAGTGCATATTTGGTCCTCGCCCTGCCTCTTCTTCGCATCTGCAACAGAGGACGTGAGGACGGCAGGCTGAATGTTGGTGGTTGAGCAATGACCGCCCCGCCAGCCTCCTGTGTTGACATGTGCGCCCGCCACCTACCGCCCGCGCCCGCAACCTTTCCCCTCACCACCACCCTCTACATAAATAAATAAATAAATAAATAAATAAATAAATAAATAAATGTTTATTCAGGTAAGGTACATACATACAAGAGATTTTACAAAAATTGATCGATTTAAAGATAGAGCTAGTACATACAATACCTAAAGCCACTATTACGCAAAGCGTTTCGGGCAGGCAGTCAGTTTCGGACATCACCATAATACTTCCCTACACACTTTATTCATCTCTAAAATGATCATTAAATTGAACTATATGGTTGTCGTAAAAGTAGGCGGGGTGTGGTGGGGGTGTTTGGGAGTGTCGGAGGGTGACAGGTGTCTGGACCAGCTGTCGCGCCAACATGGGTAGGGTTTGGTGTTGGTCTTAAGGCATATTAATATCTTGAGGATTATTTAGGCCGCCGCCAAGAGCTTACTAAGCACCAATTATGTTTTACTCATGGACATTGTCTAGAGCTAAAGTAAACTCGTGGATAAACCGATAAGTTGGGTATACTTCTTGGTTTATGTATCTTTTGCGCAAACATGTCGTTACTTTTGGCTTTATTTAGGGTCTGGGCGCCCTTCTCTTATGTTTCTTGCTGTTTCTTTTGTTATGTAAGGACACAGGACTATTGGCATTCCCTCGTGCATGGAAATTGTTTCAAAATATAGATACTACTATAAGTACCCCAGAGAGTAGACGAAACCTTCTTTTTCAATAGTGAAAGCATTAATGTAACATTGGATTCTTCTGCTGGCAGGTGAGGCGGCGCGGATCCTCCTGTGTCTGTACTGCTCCTGCCCGTCTCTTGCCACCTATAACTCGCTCTCTCACTTGACGGTGGACACCGGCGTGTGGCGGACGACCAGGGTGGCGGTAGTAGTGTTCCTTGCTAGTCCCTGCTCCACACCACCACCATGGCCCCTACAGTAGCGGTGCCGGCGCCAGCACCACCACCACCTGCGGACGTTGGCATCAACGCCGTGCTGCTGGGTCCACCTGGCTCAGGCAAGGGCACTCAGGTATGCTGCCCTCCCTGGCCTCGTGAACCTGACCTTTTTGCCGGTTTACCTTGGCCCATGTTAAGCCCTATTTTGATTATGCAGTTCAGTTTTGGGTATCTTGCTTTAATTCATTACAATTTGTGAACAGAATGTATTTACTATACTGCAATAGGCAAAATGAACCCAACTCAGCAGCTGACCACTGAGCATATGCGTGAACACATATTAAGATAAGTTATAGGCCTTCTGCAGTTACCTTGTTCTTATGTAGTTGCAGAAGTGAACATTTACATGTCACAGAAATACATACTGTAGCAGGAAATAAGGCTTGGCACATAATCCAGATCATTTCTTTTTTTCTCATCTAATGACTAATTAGCTTGACATTGGTAGTTGCTGTGCTCGCTGCCCACGGGGCAAGACGGGCATATAATCCAGCTCATGTAACTCGTGGACGAGCTTGTAAGAGTCGTCCTTGAATGCTTCAACCTTTGTTCCAGTGTGTGTGTTGGAGGTATAACTGACAGACGTGTGGTTGACGCTATCATTCGTGCCCGTGGTGCCTCCGCTTCACCATTTATTTAACACTTCCAGTCATTTCTTTCACTCAAATATGTTTTCATTTTATTGTGCAGTTGGGAACCTGACCTTGCAGCATGTTCCACGAGAATATTGACGGGTTCTCATTTGTTTAAACTATTTGAACATTAAAGGTTATGTATTTTTTTTAGCTTGGGGTGTCTCCTGTGATGGTGGTGAGGGGAGAGTGGGATGTGAGCATTAAATCGTACTCTAGATGTTTACTAGAGTACGGTAGTACTGTTATTTGCCTTCCCTTGTCTCGAAGATTCTCGTTGTCCACCCGGCCATTTTCCCTGGCAGCTGATACCTTTGCATTTCTGTGGTTTCTAAGTATTTTGCTGTTTAACAGCATTAATCCTAGATGTATAGCAATCCATGTTGTATTTTATGCATAATTTGAGGTTTTTGGTCTTGAAGTATCTACAATGTGTAAAAAAAATTTTATTTTTATTTTTTGATATCCTTTTTTTTCCTACTTGCCTCCCTTTGCCTCCCTCCCTTCCCCGTCTCGCCTCCTTTTCCCCTCTCACCTCCCTTCTCTCGCCTCCTTTCCCTTTTCTTTTCCCTCTCCTCCCCCTCCCTTTTCTCCTCTGACTTGCTATTTTTTATTATGAAGCCTGTAAATTAATTCCTGTATACATTATTATATACTGTACAGCAGGTTATAATGCTGAAGACACCATAACTTAGGCTAGTCATTAGAAAATGATAAATGACAAATATTTATTTTATGCAATAGTGAATGTTATTTTCTAAACTACCAAGAGTTTGCCTACCCTTGCAGTATAGCAAAGTATAATTAAGTGCATACTGTTACATTTTATAAATTAATTAGTTGCTTTTTAATTTTCACCATATATAACTTTTGCAACATCTTTTTTTTTTTAATTATACTATGAGTAAATTAAATTTCAGGCTCCAAGATTGAAGGAGCGTTACTGTGTGTGTCACTTGGCAACAGGCGACCTTCTCCGAGCTGAGGTGGCATCTGGATCTGATCTCGGCAAACGATTAAAGGGAATCATGGATGAAGGTATGGTGCCACTCAGTGTTTTAAATTACCTGTTTAATTCACCTGTAGGTATTTCCTGAAGGGATGCATACATTGGTCCTGTAGTGCAGCGTTCCACGTCCGTGGCTCATATTCAAGGGTCCTGGGTTCGATTCCCACGGTAGGGCAGATGATTGGGCATGTTTCCTTTATCCTGGTGTGTGTGTTCACCTAGTAGTAAATAGATACCCAAGAGTTTGGCAATTGTTGTGGGTTGTATCCAGGAGAACATCAATACAGAATTGACGTAGGGAAACCATGATTAACCCAAATACTGTACAGAATTCCTCTGATAATGAGAAACCATTGTCGTTAAAGAAGAATGTCGACATCTGGAAAACACCTTCACATATTTATTTTAATATTCAATGACTTGTACTGTATATGGTGGTGCAAGGAAGGTGATGCAGTACTGGTTCATGTTAGACATAATAATAGACAAAAAGGAGAGAAGGTATGTAAAAAGAAATTGGATTGTCTTCACAAGGCAGTTCTTTTCTCGTGTTGATAACTAACAGAACTCTGGTAGGGCTCCCACTGATGTTACATCTTCCTTTGAAGAGGTCTGATATAAGTGGCCATTAATTTTGGAACTATTTTTACCAAAACTAACATAGCCGGCACCAGCAAGCCTAGATAGCTAACCTCTTGATCTGTTAGGGAGAAGGGAGAGAAGGCAAGGAAACTATCGGGAGAAAGGGCCAAGCCTTTATGACTACATAGCACTTGGAAGGCTTCAGGATAAGGATTTGGGATGGGACGGTGGGAAGGAACGATGCCCAACTGCATACAGTCGGGGATGATATGTTCAGTGCATTCCCATTAAAGCACCATTACAGATTTTTTAGTAAATGTCTATTAAAATCTGACATTAAAGACAATTGCCAAAAGATTACCTCCATGTTTTCCTCAATTACAGTGCAGGGTATATATTTGTAATTTGTTACCTGGATGCCAAGAGCCAGAGGTTCTCATTAATCAGTCAGTAGGTCACAGTGAACTGTATTCAGTGAGAGAGTAGACAGTTTGTGTGTGAAATATCTGCTTATTCTTTGTGTACTTGTTGATGCAGGGAAACTGGTGAGTGACGAGTTAGTGGTAAGTATGATTGAGCAGAACCTCAACAAGCCGGAGTGCAAGAATGGCTTCATCCTTGATGGTTTTCCACGCACTGTCATCCAAGCTGAAAAGGTATGCTGTTACTACTTGGTGTGAATATTTATATTTGATTTATTTGATGGCAAATGTAAATAATACAGTATTTAAACAAAAAAATTTTAGTAATAAATTAGTTTTCCTTTTCTAAATTTTGTCTTGTAATATCAGCTTGATGACATGTTGGAAGTACGGAAACAGAAGCTGGACTCGGTTATAGAATTTGGCATTGAAGACAGTCTTCTGGTACGTCGTATCACCGGCCGACTCTTTCATGCACCATCTGGTCGGTCATATCATGAAGAATTCTACCCTCCTAAAACTCCTATGACTGATGATGTAAGAAAGGAAATTTGTTTGACTAATCTTCCCATAATCTGTTATTTTAACATCTGGTATACTGTGTTTCCTCTGGCAATTTCTCAATGACAGCCAAATAGAAAACACTTATTCAATGAACAGTCAGATTAATGTATTTATCCACTTAATATCTCAGATTTCTGGAGAGCCCCTAATCAGAAGGGCAGACGACAACCCTGAAATATTAATGCGAAGATTGGCAGCATATCACAATCAAACATCTCCCCTTGTTAGTTACTATGCTAAGAAAGGTAAGTTTTAGGAAGTTTTTAAGAATGGGTATTCTTAGAAAAATTCTACCACCACCACCACTATAACGGGTGGTGAGAAATGGCTCTGGTGAGGTTAAGCATTAGCCATACGTGTTTCTCATGGACATTTAATGGCATCCACCCTGCTCCTTGTTGCCTAAACTGCATTTTCCCTTCTACAGTTATTCATTTTGTAGAATGTCCAAGTTTTCAGGATGTTTGTGTTTTGCTTCCCAACTGTCCCTTGATGGAATCTTTGGTGAATTTGATACTATTGATATCGCTCACCATGTGCACTTTTATTCTCTTATTAGCATCCTTGTTGATTTTTAGTATTTTTTGAGTTTACTGCGATTTTGATATTATATATACTGCGACAAAGATTTTATTTTAAAGATTGAAACATCCCTACATAAAGCGCCGGAGAACTGCAAAATCAATAGCAGATTCCAGTGGCGGTCAGTCAAAATGGAATTCTAGTAAAAGTGATAATGGAAGTGTGGAGACATTTATAGAAGTTACAGTAGTAACTGAGGAGGAGGCAAAGACATTATGTAAACAATGCAGTAGAATCGGACAATATTTTCCCTTGAATATGAAAAGAGGCAGAATACATGTGTAATTTTCTGGTTATGCCTGTTAGCAAACAAATATGGAAATTAGAAGATTGGAGAATGGTATGAGGTGTTAAACTATGAATCTCTCACGGACTTAAACTATGTCCCATGTAAAATACTAAAGACAATAAAAAAAAGTATTGACAAACATTTAGAAAGATTTTGTAATAATTCATTGCCGGGGGAAAATGAAGCCAGAGTTTATTCATACACGTTTGGCTTTAATCGAGGTCACACCCCCACCAATATTTTCAAATTATTGACCCTGCCCAGGATGCAACCTGGGCAGGGTTGCATCATCCTGGGTCATCCCCCATAACAAGCTGACTCCTGAGTACGTGCTCACTGTTAGGTGAAAGGAAATGTGCCCAACCATTTCTGTCCCGCCCGGAATCCAAGATTGTGCGTCAGGAACGAACCCGACTGTACTACTGGGACCCTATACGTATCTTGCTTTGCAACTAAGAGAGCGTGGTTTTCAAAGCTATGTGCACCATAGTGTAAAGATTACCGTTCTAAGCAATTAGATAGAACTTTGTACTATTGATGTTACACTAGTCAGAAAAAATGAAGCTAAAAGCCAACTTAAATATTCCTAGGCGTAGTATAGCACACATGTACAATATTAGGCCTCAGATATGTATTAGGCCTAGGAAGGTTAGTCTTTGCAACATGAGTAGAAAATAGGTTTCAGGTTTATCCAACTTGATAGTGGTGATTTCTACTTTCTAATTTTGATTGTACGTCGATATACAGTATAGTGGTCCTCATCGTCACTATAACTACAGTACTACAAAAACAGGAGGATGGGCTGTGTTGTAACAGATTATATATGTTTCTGCATATTTTTTGTTTTTAACAATTAAATGTTTTATTAATGTCTTAGTAAGCATTATATAATAGAATACACTGAGACTCCTCCAGAACAAACCCCACTAAATCATATTATTGGAAGAACCAAATGACCCATGAAACTAAATGCTTCTATCAATAAAGATTCATTCGCTTAGATTGTTACAGTGCCTGATTGGCTGGATGCATCCAGGTTGTCAACCAAACCTGAACTCAAAGTACTATGTACTCCAACCTAAATGAAGTTCATGGGTCAAACAAATGTTACTCACAAAACATAGCAACTCTGCCCTACACTGTATATATATTAGTAGAGTGCAGTCACACTGCAATTCCAACGTATGATATTGGCCAAAATCTTTTCGTGTACAACAGTATTTGCTCTTGTAACCAAAATTAAATTATCTTGTTCTTTTACATGTTTGAATATATTAATTTGGTTATGCCAAAATTTATTCATTTCTCCTTACATTGTAATTTCTGCAATACAATATAATTTTATTACACATTACAAAATTGATTATACAGTGTGTTAAAGTCGAGCCATTTTATTTGCAGGCATTCATCACCGGATAGATGCTTCCCGGCCTGCAGCCGAGGTTTTCACTGCTATTAACACTATCTTTGAAAATGCTAAGAGTAAGGACAAAGTGATGTTTCTATAAGGACCAGGTACTTCATGTCTCCACATTTGCATGCCTTTGCTTTTTCTAATATAGGCTTAGCCTAATGATGATTAACTTAATAGTCAAGTAACAATTGATTATGTGGAGTTTAAATGCTAATATTCTGTATTTGCCAATTTAATGAGCTTGGTACTTTAATTTATCAGGGAGTATTAATAATTGCAGCCTTATTATTGGCTTAAGTGCATGGCAGTGAGGATAAATACAAGTTTTTAGTAGTAACACCATTTACTGACTTGGGGAAAGCTCAGGTTCATTGTCAATATATTTCCTTGGCTGAAGTTGCCAGCTCCTTTAACTTTTGTTTCTATATATGTACTGTATTGATTTGTATCCACTTCATTATTCCTTGCCCAGTTCTTAAAGTTTTTTGCTCTTGGTATCTTACCTGGTCTTAAAATTTTTAGTTTTATTATAGTATCTAATGAACAGTATCTCACTCAACTGTGTATAGTTTTAAACCTTGCCTTGAATTTTACTTAAATAACAACTACTGCAAATATTCCTTAGGTTTCAGATATCACCAATGAAATTTTATAGAATGTTGAATTTTCAAACATTTCTTAGTGAATAAAGGAATAATTTCTATAAACTTGTATTTATGAGAAAATGACTTACATGGCTATTAATATATCTACCAATGAAAGATGAATGGAAATTTGTTCTTCTCCAAAAAATGCTTTGCCACGCAGACTGTACATTCCAGGTAGCTTTGCAAAATAGCTGAAGAACATCTTAAAGTATTGTTTTTCTTTAACTATCAATCGTGTGAGCAAATTTTTGTACAAAAATTATTGTTGAAATGTCTAGAAAATACTGTACAGTATTGTAGGCTTAGGATTGCCATGCATAAATACAGTAATTTATATATTGTGCCAGTTCTTTTGCAGATTTGTAGAGCATTTATTTCCAAACATTTTTATAACAAATTTAGATTTTTGTATTAGAGCAGGATGGCAGATGGCTACAGTGCTAGTTATATCAGCACAATAGATAAATGTTCTTTAAAAATGGGGTAATTTGTTTACAAAACAAATGGCACGATAAATTAATAGATGTAAAGTCTCTTACTTGAAGCAAAGGATAAACAAATATGAGTGGTTGTAGTTTAGATAGATAGGAAGTGCCTTGCATAGGGCAATAAATCTTCTGCAGTAAATGCACTCAAAATTATATAAGCACAGACAAAGCTTTTATATACTTGCTTTAATCGTTTAGCTGCTCTACAAAAATCTCAAGACCTTCCACTCTGGACAGTTATAAAAGTAACTTAACATTTACAGATTTTCTGCTTGAAGTAAGGTCATGTTACATGGCACACTTGAAAATAATAATTTTACAAAAAATTAATATCTTGTGCTGGTACCATTGCAGAGTTTGCAGCAGTTTAAAATTTAAATTGTTAGCAGTGGTACAGTGCTTTTTTTTTATTGATAGGACCAGTCTAACACTTACAATTATGAAGCATAAATGATATTACAGTATTATGATTGTACTAATATTAAACCTTTATTTCCAGAGTTTGCATCCAGTCTAGGAGTGAAATAATGTGGTCATTATTAGCAGAAGTTCCATACAGTTCCTGAGACAACCAGCAGAATTGACTGCCATTAATAAAAGTTTACAATTTGGGTAAGGAATGGTGTAGCTGTTGCTTGCAGCTGCCTTCAACCAGCGGATATAACTGCCAGTGTTGTTAAGGTTGATTACTGTTTGTTCTGTAAAAATTAAAGACAGCAAGATAGGATATAAGGGAGTCTAAGTAACTTAAAATTCATTATTGGTCTTCAAAATAGTATCTACACCTGATCAAAAATATGTATATGTATGTATATTTATGTATAAATAATTGAAATGTATATGTAAATATACTGATCTACAGTGATAGGGTGTGGAAAGTGTAATTTCAGGTCAGTTGAGTTTTACTTTAAACTGTAATATAGAAATCTTTCTCCCATATTTTTAACTTGCATATTTATAGTAGGCTAGTTATGAAAACCCTAGTTACAGGGGGTTAATTGTGTGTACCCCGTGTGTGTCTCTCTCTCTGTGTGCTGCTTACAGCATTCAGTGATAACTTGTACAAAGAGTTGTTTTTAGTGAACATGACAAGGCATGTAAATAATTTATATTGTACAGGGATTATGGGGTAAGGTGTAAATGGCAGATATATTTTTAATTTTGCTTTAACAGCAGTGAAAAGCAAGCTTACCAGATTCCAAATTTATGTATAGCTACTCTTATCATCTTTCGAAACTGGTTCTAGACCCCTTCTGGTGGCGTGTATATTAGTGCATTTATTGAATCTTCTGTCATTGTGTGATTTGGATCAAATTCATAAAATCCAATGGTATCTACTTGTATCTCAATTTCAATAATAAGCTTTGTTGATAGCATACTTTTTAGCATTGTCACTGGTATAAAATTTCATTTGTTTTTTTAATTGAATTGACTATGGTAGTATCTCTCTCTCTTGGTGATATCAGGCAAATTCATGTTCTGATTTGTCAAAAGTATAGCTAGTTATTAATGTTGTCTTGTCACTTCTAAGTTTTTGGTCATCTCTGCATTAACGAGTTTGAAGATTCAAGTACAGTACTCTAACTTTTAATTTCTACTCGTGTTGCAGTTGTCATAAAAGCCAGTTGCTTGACTGGAGAAAAGAACCAAAGTGACATTTGGTTTCCTTGGCATGTTTGTGTTTATAAACTGCCAGATAGATATAAAAGGAATGGAAAACTATAACAGGTAGATGATACTCCCTGAAAGAATGGTTTTGTTTGAAAAAAAAAGTTGCAGACTATAAGCAGCAGTGAGTTTGGCAAAAGTTACATATCAGCAGGATGAAGGTCCATTACTACCTATTTATGGTAGGGTTTTTCAGCAGGAAGAAGACTCGCGTAATCTTCCCACGGAAAACATTTTGGAATAATCCTAGTACAGTATTCAAAAAAATTATAAAGTCTCTGGTCTTCTATTGCTTTTAAAAAAATGTACCTGTTTTGATTTAGGGTGTTGTGTAATTGAATATGGTTGTCCTAGTGAATTATGGTTACGTCTGTTTAAACATGTTTAGCACTATGTGCTTTTGAATGAAATAAAAGATATTTGATAAGTATTTTAATAATTATTCCTTCTTTTTGGTCTTAACTCGATCTTAACTCGAGGTCAACAATAATCAGATAATACTCTCATAAACACCAAGTTCAATCCTAGGAAATTAGCAGCAACCCTTCTCCAAATTTTGGCCTTAATTATGCTGAATAGCATGCAGTTGTTGTTCTCCAAACTGCATAATTTTAGATAATTTAATAATAGAGCATAATTTTCCACCCACCCTGGATTTTTAGCTACTCCGTACCTTGGAACCAACTCTTTCTTAGAGTTTCTCATTACTCGTTTATATGTACTAACACAGAGTTGGACTACACTGTCGATGGCTCTGGCCCATTCCAGCTCTGACGGCTTTGTTACCCTAGCCCTTCAAACAGACTGCTTTCCAACTTGTAGTCCTCACTAGACTGCCCTGGACAACGTCATCTGTCGTAGCATTCACAAAGCATGGCAACTGCAAATAAGCCCACTAGCGTGTATAGCATTTTGGGCAGGTCCTTAATCCTATTTTTTTTCTTCCTTGGAATACGACCCGCCAAATCGTTTAAAAAGGTATCTGCCGAGTACCTGGATGAACAGAGGCAACAGTTAAGGATTGGCACCCGGCCAGGATACAAACCCAGGCCAAAGCGCTCATGAAACGCTGAGTGTCTTACCACTGTGGGTACCCTCAAATCTTACTCATTCACATTAGCTGGAAAGATTCTACTTGCTAAATATACAATATTAAGATCTTATCAGGCCAACCACATTTCGGCACTTTCACCTTGGCGAATTTTTGATAAGTGTAAATGCTATGCATTCCTTGTCTCACTTGGAGGTATGGGTCTTTAAAATTACCATATGAGTACTAGGTGCAGGTGAATATGTCCACCTAGACAGTGGAGTACACCCTAAGTTCATATAGTAAATTATTGCTAAAATTACTTTTGACAGGTCTACTGTCCATTGGAGAGTTTAATGTTTTGTTCAGGAATGTGGCTGTGCAATATTTCTTTGAAGTTTGCCATGGGTCTCTGACTGACCAGGTTGGTTTATATTTGATCTATCTGGAGCCATATCGCCAGAAGCTGTTTAATCACACTACATATGTAGCAGCAAGTGTAGGATGAAGTCAGAGCTCATATGTTGTCACAGTAGCCAGAGCCTCCAGAGATAGTGATAGTCGTCATCTTAATTCAGACTATTTAAGTACATAGCATCTAGCTCCTGCCCTTGGCCAATAGAGGGACATGCTACAATCACCAATATTCTTTGTGTGAATACGTACACTACAATCTTGCATAGCACTTTACCGACTATTTGCTGTAGGAAAAAATATGCTAAAGACTTACAAATTCATACAAGTTAACTATGAAATTGTATGTATTAGTAGGACATAAATTAAATTTGACTTATTACCACTAGATGCAAAGTATGGACAACATTCCCCCACCATTTTCAAGAATAGGCAACAAAAATAAGTTTAATATATAAATTTTTATTTGTTTTACCATTTGGCAATAGATACATAGTGCCAATTTCTGGCAAACCAATTAAATCATTACATAATAACAGCCATACAGGATAAACTTAATTATGAGGACCTATGTGGAATGGAATAACAGCCTGAGCTGTATCTGAGGAAGGGTAGTCTAATATTCTGAAATTAAAAATTATACTATTCATCTTCAAACTATCAGTATGATTTTTTTTAATTTAAGATGCATGAGAGAGGTTGGACTCAAAATTTAACAAAAAAGTGGGAATGGACAAGTGAAATTACACCACAGAGGCCAGGGCTAGGAAGTATCACAACTTGGCTGCATGGTGCACTGTAGTTCACTTCAGGGTAACGTAGTGCCACAGGTCAACTGGAACGGAAAGTTTGTGTTATTTATAATCAACTGAATTATACACCATACAATAGTTTTTTGCACACTGTTGAAACGCCTGCTTTTGTTGAAAAGCAGAGGTGCAATAGGTACACAGAGAACTCTTAACATCAAAGGCCCGAGACTGTTCAGCATGTTTCCACTACACATAAGGGGCATAACTGGCCGACCCCTCTACAGTGTTTAAGAGAACTTGATAAACATCTCCAAAGGATACCTGATCAATCAGGCTGTGAGCAGCCGCATCCAACAGCCTGGTTGACCAGTTCAGCAACCAAGAGAACTGGTCAAGGACCGGGACATTGAGCCCTAAAATTATCACAAGGTAACATTTTACAACTATTTCTCCTTTCATTAAAATTATTTAAAACTTTACTCATTCTTCTACATATCTTATGCTATACAACAATCTTGCATGAATGCCTGGGTCTTACCATAAAAGCCAGTTTTTTTTATTTTGTTAAACTACTTCACTACTTTGCATTCATGAATGTGACTAGCTGCTAAACCATTTGAAAGCACATTATATGTTTCTTAAGTTTAAGTAATAAAAATATTCTGCAATAATTTGTATTAAATGACTTCAATTAGGTGTCGTGTGTGTGGCCCTCATGACAACACAAATGTGACCCACATGGCCCTCTGGGGACCATCAGTTTGACATGCCAGTGTTAGAGAAATATATGCAGTAGATATAATAGAGGAAAAATAGATTTGTTAGAAAGACGGGGTCCAAGAGCTAATAGCTAGATTCAACAGACAAATAGTAAATACATTGCCGTATGCAGGTTGCAGTGGATAATCGGCTTCTGATGACAATATGTGGGGTGATTAGATTAAAACACCATTTTTTATGTATTGCCAAGCGGGACCTACCAAGCGCTATATGTTCATGTTCGGGAACGCACTAAGGCACATGAACTATACATACAGTACACTTTTGCTTTGGCATCTAAAAATTTAGTTGCGAACATTTTGACACCAAATTTATAGTTATAAACCAACAAATAACAAAATGTGAAATGATTATAATAAAACTTTCTATCACTGAACAGTCTGCGAGTGGCATTGGAAGCCAAAATATTTATGTTCAGGAATGCCTGGAAAAGCCAGACCTTGAACACGATTGATGTTCTCATTGATATACTGTATACAATATATCACTTTAGTGTGATTTCTTTGTGTATCTGAAGTTGTACTAGAGTGCATGGAAAGTTATATGTAAAACTTGGGCTGGCTTCAGTAGATACCAGGTTGCATAACTTATACCATGTCGTGGTACAGGGGTAAGGTGTGCGGATGGATCGCTGGTTTGAGTCACCTCGGTGCTCCAATTTATTTGATCTCCTTTCAATTCTCTGGGTACACATTTCCGTCCGGATGAAAGTGGACAATGGGGTAATAATGATGTAATGTAAAAAATAAAAAAAGGCATTACATACAGAATCAATAAAAGTGAATGCAGCAACTGCCAACCTTTAGGATCAATGGGTTGTGCTGGTCCAGGCTCTGGAGAGCCATCTACTACTTCTTGTGCATCCGCTGACGTAAGCTTGTTGACACAGTTGGGAACAGAAACACTGCTGGTGCTATGTCCACCAGCATCAGTCTTGCCTTCTACTAAATTCTGCCATGCTTCATGGGTCTCCATGATAATCTGCAATGCAAAAGTTTTTTACAATAGCAGCATTACTATGTCTAATACAGTAATGTTTTGTACAATATATAAATGTCTTGGGTGTAATAAAACAATGTATTAAAATACAGTACAGTACAGTATAGATAAAAAAAAATTCAGGGCAGCCCACCAAAATGCTTTATAATTACCTTTCATTAATAATTTGACTTTTTTATTGTACCTTTTAAATCGTGTGGCTATAAATGGGCATATTCATACTAAAGTTCCATTGCATCTGATGTTTGCTATTATAAACCAAATTGTATCAGGTAGTTATTGCACATGATAGGACATGTTTTTGAGTATACAGTATTTTTATACTAGAAGTATTTATTTTTTAGCACCACTGTTCTTTGACAATTTTTAACCTTTCCTGGTTCTCAAAATACAGACCATAGTGTCTTATTGGACAATTCTGCAGAGAATAATTAAATACAAACCTTATGAGCAAAGTCTCTATCCTTAGCCAATCCATTAAAAGCAAACTGGTTCTCAGGTTTGCCATCTGGTATCTTATAAATCCTGAACCATTCCACAGATGCTTTCAGGAAACCAGGCATGTGCTTCTCCACATCAGATATATCACTTAGTTGTGGAGCCAATGGGTCATTAACATCAATGGCAATTAGCTTCCAATCTGTCTCTCCTTCATCAATAAGAGCTAAAGTCCCAAGCACCTGAAATTAAAAAAGAAACAATGATAAATAAGCATAACCAGGCTTCACTTGTTCTGTATTTTCATCAATACTGTCAGGTCAAGCTCTCTAAAAGCATAACTGTCAATTCTACTATAACAGTATTCTTTATAATATTTCTTAGTTTATATGTAGATCAGATTTAACTATTAAAGAACATTTTGTCTTAAAATACAGACCACACAATATGCTGGCAATTCCGAATTAAAATGTAATCATTAACTTTCTTACCTTCACTTGAATGACTTCACCCCTCTTGGCCACACGGTAGCCAATTTCACACACATCAATAGGGTCATTATCGCCCTTACATCCTGTAGCTTCATCGATGTGGTTGGGATCCTCCCAGGTCTTAAAGTGCATAAAAAAAAAAAATTAAATGATACAGGTGTATGTATATAGTAATGTAATATACCACAATCTGGTTCATAAATTCTTGTGCTAAAAAGGTTTTCAGAAATTTAATGAATAAAGAGTTCTAATTTATCCAGAATTAAACATTGAAAATAGGGCTAAAAGGGCTATTCAAGTGTACTTTGAAAATTCTTTCTAACTTTCCTGAGGCCTACTTAGGTCAAAAGACAGCAGTTGCCAACTTACCTGTGGGAGTGCACCATAATTCCATATGTAGCCGTGGTGAGGAAAACAGTTTGCAACAAATCGAAGTTTACCCTTCTTAACATCCTGTTTAATTGGATTCAAAGGATCCTTGGTGGATATCTGCAAGGTAAGAGCAGTGACTATTTAGTTTCTGCATATGAAACAATGAACCTAACCTTGTTTCTCCAACATCTTATAATTCACCCTTGTTGATGTCATGGTCACTTATCTCGATACAGTACCATCCATCACTATCTTTTGTCCATCATAAGCTAAACTTCGCTTTTATGTCCATAGGGAATGGAGAGGATGGGGGAGGTAGAAGGATGGGGAGATGAAATTCAGGAAGAGGATGAGGGTGTAGAGAGAGAGAGGAGGTTTGAAAGTTCGGTGGCCTGTCCACCATGGGTTGACATTTTTGTATGTGTTGTTTGTTTGCATAAGCTAAACCGTTTTCCTTTCTGCACTATTAATGTAACGCTTAAACATTATGCTTACTAGTCTTGTGAGATATTAAGAGAGAAATCATGTTTTTATTGCATATTTTGACTTTTTAGCTGGATTGAAGCTTTTTTAAACATTATAAACCAATTTTGACCATCATATTGTGATGAGGTGAATTACTCTACCTGCAATGATCAAGCAACATATGCAGATCAGGTATAATTAATTACAGAATGGGACACCACAATCCCATCTTCCCAGTACTCAGTCATATAAGGCATTGAAACTACAACTCTGCCACCTGTGTATAAATGTGACACCAAGTACCAAAACCAATTTGGCCTTTAATTCATATTATTTATGCTCAATCTCTTTGCAAAGATAAACTCGGACCAGTGCCACTGTAGTGACCAGTTAATCCAGAGTTTGACATTTGAAAAAGACAAAACTTACTTGTGCTCAAACTAGGATTCCTCAAGAATCTGAATTGTCTACACATGGCCACATATTTCTCTCTGAAGATGCAGTGCTCCACTCTATATACATATGCATGGTATATTAGTACTCAATAGATTCATCGATACCAGTTTCAAGGGTGATCCCTTATGCTCCTCACCAATATTGTAAGGCAAATGAGTTGCCATTAATTGTCAACTTCTAAAAATAATATTTCATTAGCATTCAGTCATCAAATACGACTACAAGCCTGCAGGTGTACAGACCCTCCTCAAGGTTGACTACTTTAGAGTCTACACAAGGAACAAGAGAACACTCACAAGGCATAAGTGTCTAGTGATAGGCTCCCACCTCAAAGGGCTAAATTAATGACAAAAAAGCACAAGGCTTCATGTTCAGTCGGTGCTTGATTATTGCTTATCCACTCTTAAGAAATGGTCTGACCCAAGGTTATTATTTACGCAAGTTCTGGATAGTTTTAGTGGTTGCCACTGAAAGTACAATTTTTGTGTTTATTTACATACCACTGCAGAGGAGATTTATATCTTGCAAAGTAAATAAGGCGGTCATTGAAACAAAAAAAGTACAGTTCCATATTTACCTCCATCTTGGCATTGGTCCATCTGGGCACCTCCACTACCATGTTAAAAATTTTGTTTCCTTCATTTGCAAACAGTGGAACGTCATGGAATGGAGAGAGGGGTCCATTCTCATTCTCTGTACCAGAAAAAAAAACTAAATTAGTATAAAGAAAATATAGTAGATATACTATTTTATGATATTCCTAATTAATGGATGAAGCAAAGCAAACTAGATAGGTCCTAACTAATCAAACAAAAGAGTACATCGTGCTGGTGGTGATAATGGGGAAAGAAGGAATATGAAGTCCTATTATATAAGTTAATGTTATTAGTCCATGTGTTGAATTGGAAAAGATGCCAGTATGTATATACAGTACACTGAAAACCTATCTCAGTCTGGGAAGGTTAAATTATGAAAATTTCTTTATACAACTCTGAATTCTGACGCAATCCTTAATGGAAGAATCGGAGAATGATCACAGCCTACCACTGAAATAATGAATTTGTAACACGAATCGTTGAAATTTTCAATAAGAATAAAGTACTGTATAGTTCAAAGATACATACCTCATAAATTGAATAAACTAATGTGCTTATCCTCTTGCTTCAGTGCATGTGTGTGAATGAATTTGGTTGACAAAAATGTTTTATTTTTTTTTAGATTTTGTTCAAGCTCATAACACAACAGTATTATGTAAGAAATGTCAGATCAACCAGATATATGTGGACCTGTGGGTCACTCCAAGCAACAGTTTGTTGGATAGACAATAATTTGGTTGAACTATAGCATAATAAGAGGGCATGCAGACGAGTCACCAGGATACTTCACTGTGAGGGAAGTAAACAAATGATGCAACAAACTAAAAGGAGAAACTTAATAGGGGTTAGGTTATCTTGAGATGATTTCGGGGCTTAGCGTCCCCGCGGCCCGGTCCTCGACCAGACCTCCTTTTGTCGTCCCCCCCACCACCAGGAAGCAGCCCGTAGCAGGGCTGTCTGACTCCCAGGTACCTATTTACTGCTAGGTGAACGAGAGCACCAGAGTGAAAGATACTCTGCCCATTTGTTTCCATCAAACTTAGGACTACGAATACCGAGCGCTGTACACTCAGCTGTCAGGCGGGACAATTTACAACTGGTCAGATTTTGCCGCAAATAATATAAACTCTTTAAAAAATACATCATAAATTTACACTTGGCGCCTAAAACAAAAATTCCTGTGTAACTCGCTTTACTAAATGAGTTTTGAGGTTCAGTTCTTGAGCTCATTATGATGACCAAACAAGAAGAACCCATTATGTTTGTATCCCTTTCCACTACCGCCCACAGAATGGGTATAGGGTGCATAATAAGTTAACTAAACTTTGACAACTTCCGTCATACTGCTGGCCTCTGGTGAAAGGAAGAAAGGCACACTAATTATTCTGCTGACTTAGCATCACTTCTCTCGATTTATCACAACATACAAAGTGCTAACCTAACCTGTAAAGGACCAACCCAAGCCACCCACCAAGTCAACCGTTGCATAGAAAACGGATTATTGTGAGGAGCTACTTTTCCCATTACTTTGTAATTTATACGTTGTGGACAATAAACTATAAAATTAAGACGTGTTAGCAGAGAGGACACCGGGTTAGTGACCTCACTAGAGGTCACGACTTCTAACGAAGTCCAGTGTTTCCAAACGGGTGGGTCGCAACCCCTTGGGTCGCTTGGGCCCCTTAGGGCGGGGTCGTGAACATAAAAAAATAATAGGATCGTTCCCAAAAACGTTGGGAACTGCTGCCTTATCTGAAGTAATTTATAATGTTCTTTAATATACAAGAATTTCAAAATAATCCAGAGTGGCAGAGTTTGATCAGTTTTATTTATTCGTATTCAGCACTACTAGCTAGCTATCCAATTGTGCTGAATACGGGTCTCCCCGAGGCGATTATTGACATGAAAAATAGAATACAAAAATCTTCCTCAAATTCAAAACCTAAATGAGACCTGACCATATGTAAACTATCCGCAAAAATACTCATACTGTACATCACATACTAAATGTGAACAATAGTGCTTAAGTTGTCAAAGTATATATATTTAATCCATGGGTAACCTTACCCAAATATCTTCGCCGGTATCCCAACTTTGTTTGCTGTAGATATAAAAAATTGGAGCCAAAGCCTTCGAAATGGGTATGGGGCTTTAGTAAATTAAACTTAAACTACACTTAGACAAATATTTGGTTTCAGTTGCCGGGTCCATATGTATTTCTAACCTTTCCATCACCCCTCACAAAAACTTTTGGTTTGCTTAATACATTAATCTACCTACCTACCTACCTATACCTGTTGTTGGTTCCTAGAGGCAACTGTTAGTTAATCAAATTTAAGCTAGCTTCTCTACCACCTTATCGTACATGCTCAGCCGATTCATAAATCCAGCGTCAACCCTATCTAACTCGGACGTGTTAGTAATTACAGAAACAAATTAAAACATGAACATACGGAAGTAAATATGATACGACGGGGTGTTGAAGCGGCCTCTCTCGATGACAGTAACGTTGAGTCCTGAGAACTGGCTGGTGGACGCGGGCCACACCACCGTCGGCGTCCTGGTGCCCTCATGGTTCTGGCTCCCTCCGGAGCCGCCACATGGCTTCCCACAAGTAACACATGGCTCCTTGGTCACGCGTTTTATATCGCTACCATCCTCATCTTGCTCTTCGCTTTCCTTCCCTTGATCATTCCGTATAATACCCAAAGCTTCGAACGTAGAACTAGGTTTATGTCCTAGATTGACCTTGGTGTTTATATGGACCTTGACCCCGGGGCCGATGATGCTGGGGACACTGCCTTTAACGGGCCACCAGGGAACTATTCTTCCATCAGGCATCACCAGGGAGACGTTGTTCTTCACCAAACTCTCCACCCTCTGACACCCTACACACGCCGCCAACACCACCAACAACCCAATCATCCCCATCTTTAGTACCAAGATAGGTTACTAACTAATAAATTACGTTAAATATAATAAGTTATTCAATAAATAGACATGCACAGTTAGCTCCGAGAATCTGAGTCTTGTCAAGAGTCTAGTCTACGGACATTTAGTAAAATGAACATGGGAGACCGGAGCGCCACGTGCAAGGTCTTCGTGAGAGTCGCCAACACTTAGTTGCAGTCAAACCAACTTTCAATGTTGATTTCTTTGCAATGGTAATGACTAGAAAATGGCTGTATTTGGATTCTTTTAGTCGTGGTTGATGATGTGACTTCGGATTGATTGATTTAGCTTAAACCATCCAAGAGGTGGCACGGACATGAATAACCCCTAAGTGACTTCGTTGTCGGGGGGTTGCCGTTAACTGGTCTTGTGATCACCACCAGGTGGCGGATGGTTGTGCTGGTGGAGTCCCAAAGCCGCACTGCCGCTCCTGCTGCCTCCTGCTGCTCCTATATGCATCCCGCTCGCCCCACAAGTCACCCACCAACTCTCTCTGCCCAGGCAGGCAGGGGGGTGGGGGATACTTGACGCACACCCCCTGGGTAGTACCAGATACAGTACCATCAATCACCGCTTCTCGGTACACATGTACCGCATTCTGGATCCACTATTACTGGGTCACCATTATAATCAAATTATTATTCTGAACATGGTCAATTATATTTATATTATTGCTAGTACTACACCGAACACTAAACTGCTAATTATTACTTCTGTTATTGCGTTACCACAAACACCATTAACGCTATTAACGGTTAGGAAAACAGGCTCTTAATACCTAGTAATTTTATACAGATATGAACAACTACCATTTGCTAGGAGGTGGGGTCTAATAACCAGTTTTCGCTCTCTAATAAATGATAGGTGATTACTACTGCTGCTATCGCCGTTGTGGTCGTAGTAGTAGTATTTAGTACAGTATTATTATTGTTCCATATATTCTATACAACCCTATTCTTAAACAAGGCATTATTTAAGAATGGATTATTTAGACTTTGTCAAATTTGTATACATTGTTTCGTGTTCTATTATTTATTTATATATTTAGCATAATATTAATATTCCTTCTTCCTTTCATTTGTATACTTAAATAATATCACCCCTTTCAAGTGCGAGGATTAACTTTATTAGCCCCCGTGTCTCTCAGCAATCTAATTGCCGAAGCTACATTTACCTCTGAAATTCTATCCATAATACTCCAAGTTCAATTCCAACCTTATTATCTCAATCATAGCATTTCTTGGGCATCCTAAGATTATTATCCTAGCTTTATTTTGTACCTTCTCCAACCTCTTTTAATCTACCTTTACCAAAACAAGAAATGACAGGTGCACCATAATCAATAAGAGATCTCACAGTATACCACGTGATTACTATTGGAATGTGAAATGTAAAATATGATTAAAAACTTGTGTACTGAATGGATTTGTGAGCCCCTTGAGGGACCTTATTAAATACGCGGGGATAGAAATAGCCTATGCTACTGCATCCTATTGAGATGTATTTTATCATCTCAATGAACTTAAACTTGATCTCACGTCTATTGCGTTACCCGGTAATTTGTTCCATAAATCAAAAACTTATTTCAAAATCCGTATTAACCAAGGTGTTTCATGAATTTAAACTTACCCAATTTATACACATTATTCGTTTTTGCCTCATTTCAAAACTTTCTACTTTTTTTAAGCTTCAGATTCCTACTAATCACGACTCGCATATATTTTTCGTGTTCACATTTGGCAATTTTACAGTTAAACTAATATCCGGTTACTTTAATGACAAATGTAGAAACCTACATTTGGCAGCATTAAAATATGTTAATACTGTATGTTTAATGTATTTTAAAAGCCCATCTAAATCGTCTTCTACCAGTATTTTGTTAAAATTGATTTCTCACCATATTTTGTATGATGATCAGCAAATGTTGCTGATCAATCGTCTGTCTAAATCATTGATACAGTATATATATAATACACAACAGAGGTCACAGGATTTCACTTTATTTATACTAACCCTGTTTTTTTTTTAAATAGCCATGCCCTTATCTAACTTACAACACTTCCTTACCCCCTCAATACCACGAGCTTTGGTAAATCATTTTCTAGATTAGTCTTATCTAATAAAAAGCTAAGGAGAAAACATTTAAATTATAGACACTGTATATAAGAAAGAAAAAAATGTAAATATATAAAATAGAGAAAAACCAGAAAGCAGGAGAAAAGTCAGGTTAAGGAATAGGAGCGATATGAGAAGCGCGTAGGTAGAGGATATTAGTGATAAGTATAAGAGTGGCAGATATAGACAGAAGAGAAACTTGTGTACCCCATAAACTCACCATTCTGACCAGCCTTATTGTCTTGGATTGGATTGGCGTGTCCACGGACCCCTATCCCCCGTATCAGCTATTGATACAGATAATGGCGCCAAAGAGCCTCCACTTACGGGCTCTCCATAGCCCGCGCTACTTGGAACTTTTTGTTCCGAGCACAACCACTTGGGCTGAACGGTAGAGCGACGGCCTCGCTTCATGCAGGTTGGTGTTCAATCCCTGACCGTCCTAGTGGTTGGGCACCATTCCTTTCCCCCGTCCCATCCCAAATTATTATCCTGACCCCATTCCAATTGCTATATAGTCGTAATAGCTTGGCGCTTTTCCTGATAATTCCCTCCCTCCCTCCTTCCGAGTAGCTGAATCTAACACAATAGGCAGAAGAGCTTCAATTCCTGCCAGACGAGTCACGTCGGAAAGACCATGTCAGGCACCACCTGGAAATATCCGAGGAGGACATCTGGCATCAGCTGGATTTACCGAGAAACCACCACATGATTACTATCCTCGTAGCTCCGGCCGACACAAAGTTCTCAGAGGCAGCCTTATCAACCCAAACCGTCGAAGATTTCCGGAATCTGGAGTTAAGACAATGTTCACCGTTTATGGCATAATATACTCTTGATATGATTTTTTTCTTAACATTCTACATAATTCCCGAATCTCATTATATGCAGATTATGTCTATTACTTCAAGATCTTTCCCATCAACTTTTGTATTTATTTTTTCTTACATCGATCGTCCGAGAGATACTTTCTTTTCTCGCTGTCTGCCGTTGTGAATCTAGACCCCTGCAAGGGTTGACATCAAATACTTATGGTCCTGTAATGAAAGTAGGCAACTTACCCTTGCTGGTTACACTCATAAAAAGTTGCATAACATGGACACCACAACGTGAGCTACATATTCTGAACGTATCAATCCTACTATTTCAGTCATTTATTGTCTTAGCCAACAACTAGGGTAGCAGAAAACGGTACACACACTACAACTACTTTATACAATTCACCCATAATCAAAAATACATATTAATATACATACTACGTACACATACATGTATTTCTGCGTCAATATGATAAACTTACAAGTGGAAAGGGTGATGTGACGAGAGTATCACCACCACACAGGCACACAGCCACAACACAAAGGGTTAGTGTACAAGCATACAGACTTTAGTTTACTTTACTTATTATACACTCCATACCCCATCATGTGAGCGGTAGCGTTAAAGGTTACACAGTACCAAAATTAGTTAAAACTAAGCAAGTTGCAGCACTGATGAGCTAGTTACGTAGTACATTAACATAACTATATCAAAAGTCTCTTTACAGTTTATCAAACTACCATCATCGACTACCTCAAGACTACCAAACACAGTTGTTAGGTGAGCCAGATATATACAACTTTGATTTGCTTATTAAACATCCTCACATCTATTCAGTGGGCAGCGATGGAAGCGTTACAATCACCTGCATGCACTACCTACCGTTACTAAACTTGTGACGTTTGGTCAAAATATCTGGTAGATCATTTTGAATTAAATATTTATACATTTCTCGAACATTTGTGACAAGTTATTTCTGAATTCTTTAATTGGTTCAAGTCCCCCCCTCCCCCCCCAGCGATGCCAAGTGTGTGAATAATTTTGTCGACAGTGGTCAGGTCCTACAACCAGGGAAATAACTAAGTTGGCCCATATTAAAGACGTTTTATTTTTTAACCCGCCCGTTTTTTTGTTAACTAAAATCCCTGGCCCGGGCAAGTGGGTAGCTACCAAGCCAACCCTGCCTACAACCCACATTCTATTGTTTAAGCATGCGAGTCACTACCCTGGTCAGCGTAAAGACAGCCTGGAGTTCTACGAAGACATCTCTATTTTTTTACTTGTAACACCAAGAAAATTGATGTAGTCACATCCAGGGAAATTTCCTGACAAAACTTTCCTGAAAAATTCCAGATATTAACTTATACAAAAAAAAGAGTAGCCCATAAAATAATAGGTACATAATTCTCCAGAAACTAATAACCAGTGTTTCAGAGAACCTGCATATATCACCCTCCCACCCAACTAAGGGCTTCCGGCTGGCGACATCACACGCTGGAATATGTTCGTATAAAGTGGGTTTTCTTCTATATTGGCTAGAAAAAGTGGTCTACTCTCAAACATATTGCCTGCCACTCCCTCCTGACCAACTTGCTCAATACTAACTCCTACACTACTTGGGTGCATATTCTTTGGGAGCGCGATGTTTTATGTAGTAGTCCCACATCAACAACAAGCTCTATTTTCATACAGCTTGAAAGGTATATCACATATCACACCCATTTAGCTGATGTATATATGTCATCAGACTCCGGACATTGGACTAAACCGAAATTGAAACCAGTTCGGCCATGGCATTAGCTATCGTTATGATTAGCCATCTGCTGATCACTCCAGACTGACCTACCATCCGGTATGTTTTTAACAGCAAATTGAAGCTCTAATGGGCAGGTAAGGTTGTTGGCGATGTTAATGAATTTAACCCAAAACCGGACATTATAACTTTCTAATAATCACCAGCCGGACACAGAAGCCTGCCTAATAAAAACTGGATCAGGTGATACTTATCTCTTGGATCTCTCCCGGGCTTATACTTAACTTTAAAGATGAATGACGAAAGTGACGTGAGCCGGCGAGACGAAAGCTCCTTTGACCTTAACCGCCAAGCAAAGATGCGAAGTTCGTCCTCCGGACTTCAAGGGATTTTTTAATCTTTTTACGAGCAAATGTTTTGGCTAACTCATCAGATCTATCATGTGTTCAGAGGCCAATATGGTAAGGAATCCACAGGAGACAAACTCTTTACTCTATCATTATTATATATTTGCCTAGCTTCAAACACAACATGTCCTCTTACAAAGAACGTCGCTTTTGGTTCGTATGCGTTACACAAGGCGAACAATTTTCCCATTAGAAAATGGAAGCAACTTACGAAAGTGACGTGCTGTCCTCTTTTCTGTTTTGGGTCCTCTGGTAGATTAGGTTAAGACACTTTAAATTGATCGTTTTCTTGACGTTAGTGACCTCCT